TTTGTAGAGAGTTTGAAAACTAGGGAGTTAAGGTAGAACAGCACAAGTACAGAGGTTCTTAGAGTTCGTAGAGGAACTCTGTTCTTGGTTTTCCAACTATGGGACTCTGGATGCAGACTCCTGGGGGAGAATAAGAGTTGAAATGCAAAAACATTAGGAGGAACCTGGGCCGGAAAAAATTCCAGTGGAAGCTTTTAGTCTGTGGGCATCAATTCAGGACAGTTTAGATCTAAGTCCTGAGCAGCAGGGGGGGAATTTTCCTGAGGCAGATACAGGCAGAACAAAACCCTCTGCTCTGCCTGAGCTGCCTGTCGATGAGAATGCTTTTACAACATCACTCAATCAGGGTCAGTTCCCTCTTGGCCATGAAGCCCAGTTTAAGGATTGGGATTAGACAAGGGAGGAACTAAAGTGCTTGGAAAACTTCATAATTTCTTTTTCTCAAAAACTGGAAGCTCTTCAGGTCTCTCCTTCTCAGAAGGGAACTTCTGGGGGGGGGAGGGTGTCGTCTATCAGAATGGCAAAGTCACCCATAATATTAATGAACCATGGTTTGGTGAATCTAAGGGAGTCTTTAGGTTTGATGCAGTTGCATCAGGAATTTATTGATTTATTTGATGCCTTTGCATCAAGACTTTATTGATTTAGAAAGGGCTTGGCACAGGTAAGGCTGTTATAAACATCTTGACCCATACAAAAAGGATATTCCATCTTGGTCATCCTCCACTCCTTTACAGGGGTGGCGGGGGCAGCCATAGGGATTGCTGTGGTTATTCCAACTACTTGCAGCTCTTAGTAGGGACCTGAGTCAGAGCTGAGTTAAGCTCTGTACTTCCCCCTGCCAAAGGCTGGTAGTCAGAGACGGGTAAAGTTCTTCTTGCTAGCTGCTAACGGATGACAGAGTATGCTTGATGGAAAGTGTATCTCCATGATGGGTAAAGATTAGTAAAGAAGGACAACCTAAGGCAGGCACAGTCCATCTGAGGGGTCTGAGGGGCCCTTTAATGTATTAAAAAGCAGGAGCAATAGACAACCACAGAGGTTTCCTAGTAAGAACTTACTCAGGGTCCAAGAATTTGTACTTGCTTTACCCAGCAGGGCTACGTAAGGGGATGATTTGACCACAGGCGTGGTAACCAGGTGTTTGGAAGGGTCTACACTTGGCTGGGTGGTGTGCTTTGATCTAGCAAAGAGGAGGTCTTTTGCCCTGCCCCTTGACATCATTATAAAAATTCCTTTTGAAGAGGCAGAAGGGGCTGGTGGGTTTTGATCTAGATCCTCCTGAAAATATCCTGTGTTTCTGTCTTTCTCCTCTTCACTATCTTTCTATCTAATATTTTCTTATCCATCTCTCCTCCTAATAGGAACCCTTTAAAAGGTGGAGCTGGCCTCCCATAGGTAATAGCACATTGCCCTAAGATGTGATTGTGGAAGCATATCGAATCCTCAATTGTTTTGTGTGACAGGGAAGGGCAGGAACCTGCTTGATTTCAAAGTAGGAAGCAGTGGATGGTTTGAGTGTGGATGGTAGAGTAACCTGTATTGGTGGGAGTTTAAAATAAGTCTGGGAGTAGTTTACCCCAATATATAGATTAAAGAGGAGACGATGAAGAGCATGGCAAGCAGGACTTCCTCAAAATTAAACAAAATATGCATTATTAACAGGAGAGAATGAAACAGTAGTCAGGGATCATCTAATCAACACCACATTTGGAGACAATCTATCAGATTATATATATATATATATATATATATATATATATATATATATAATCAGACTACCATTCCTATATTCCTATACCACCAAGGAATTAAAATACAAATACTAGTAAAATACCTTTGGAGATAAAAATACCACCAATCTTTCTGTTCCATGGAACTGTAATACAAAAAGTGAAAAACAATTAGACTCTTGAAACACTTATGCAAAGATTTTTAAGACTATTCCTCATAAAAATATTATAAGCCAGTTGTCATCAATGAGGGTACAGGTGTAGGTGGCCTTCTCCACATGGCTGGGATTCTGATTGACCTGTTATTTCACTGGAAATCTTCCATGATAAGAAGTTCACTATAGTGTGGAGGCTGGCTGTGCACCTCACTGCTTTTATTTCCCCTTGCCCACATCCCTGTGCCATGTATTGTTTTTCCATTCATAAGTTTAATATGTGAGTTGTTTCCACATTCTGAATATAATGATCCATGCTGTAAAGAATATTTGTTCACAGACTTTTCTTCTCCCTTTTTCAATGGTTCTACATCCATGTTTGGAGCTGCAGAGTCACATGGAAATTCTATGTAACTTCCTGTGGAACTATGGACTGATTTTTGCCCAAAGACCAACACATTTCATGTTTCTACAATTACCTGCTCATCCACTTTATATTCTGCCTGCAACCAGTATCATCAGAAGGGTGGACTGTGCCTGTGATTCCCACCCTTCACATGTACATAGACTGTTGTCTACGTAATCATCTAATGTCACCAATTACAAAAGTGACACAGCAGGAACTTTAAGACACTTAGTGATGTGCTGGCTGAAGACACTGATACACATTCAACTGAATGTGAACTAGTGTAAATATGACTTCCAAATTTCACTCCTTCATAAAAAGAAAAGTTTAATGGAAATGTTGTCATGAAACTCTTCATAAATCCCTAAATACAGTACTTCCTCTCATATTCAATGTGGGAGAAACACTAAGCATTAACTATAGATAATCTTCAGGAACATTAACAAGGGAAAAGAGTGTATTTAGAGAATGACACAAAGATGATCTTCTTCCTCAAAGATTTCTGTGGAAATGTTTTTCTCAGGTAAAGAGCAAACTTACAGAACCAGAAATTTTATAAAATCTGCAAGTGTTTATGTTAGTTGAGTAAATTCTGGAATGAGGCTGGAAGTTTGGACAGAGGAATGAGGAGAGTCCAAATTGGGGGGTTGTATATGATGAACTCTTCATGTGGAAAAGATGAATGCTGCTGTATGCTTTCCCACAGCAGGTATGTGCTACACTATCCCTGTGATTCCAATGAATGCACTCAAGGTATTCTTGGTACACCATGATCAGATCATCTCATGAAAGATAAGAATGTGAATTCGACATTTACCTGCACTCCACAAAATAACTCTGACTCTGATGGTCTAAGGACACTGGTCCTCATGTGTTGACTATAGACACCAATGATACTCCACTACACAAACACTCAAGACCCTGAGCTTTTAATGAGTAACTAGGTTCATCTGTACAGTTAAATACTAGATTTTTTTTTTTTAGGAAATTAACTTGGGAGTGTAGGAGGTAATTTTCAAATTTATACTACACAATACCATTGGAGTGAGATCAAATTGTATACTTTCAAAACCCAGAGAAAAACCAGATCAGTTGGGGAAGAAGAATGTGGGGAATGGAGTAAAGCATTGTTCTGTCCATATCCTTCAAAGAACAAGATGACCTCATTTCTACCCCAAGGATCTTGTGGAGTCCTGATGAACATCACAGGTGAAAATTTAAGGAGTTTAGTTCCATGAAGAAATGTGTGTGGTGGAAAGTACAAATGAGGGTCATCATGGAAGGAAAAAACTTGAGTTGGCAGCCTGTATACAATTAGACTAACATGGTTTCTTAATCAGTAAACATGCTGGTTCATTGATTTGATTTCTTCCCTGTGAATTAGACAGCATTAAGTTGACCCACAATTTCCACAGCCAGCCTCTTGTGAACAGAAGTCCAAGCTGTAGGTCTTACCGAAATGAAGCCACAAAATTTCCCATGGGCCAGGACAAGAGAATCGACTTGCAAGCAGATCTGTTGTCTGTCCCGACTACATCCACATAGTCACCCATCCACAGATAACTCAGTGGGATGACATATTTCATCTTAAAGTGTCCCTTACACCTAGAGAGAGAATCAAGACATCTGTTAGTTTGCTTTTCATTGCAGTGGGAATTACTTGTGGCAAGACCTAGTTCTTCCTGCTCCAGAGCAGAGGAGGACTCATCCATTTCTATCACGCAGGTAGGGCTCATGCCATGGTAGGTAGATACGCCTCAGCAAAGTCTGTGCTGAAGGAAGTTATGAGGCTCACACTTTTCGATGGCCAAGAATAGCCATAGTCTGGTCTTTTTTCTGATAGTTGAGTGTTTAGAATGACCATACTGTGTATTTTAAAGATGTGGCATTTTTAGAAAACCCTGTGCTTCAATATTTCTCCCCTCTATTTAGTTAACTGTTAAACTTTTCTTCTTGTTTACTTCCATAACTTCAATACCAAGAAAATTAGTTAAGTGTTTTATGTTTTACTTAAATAAATAATTACATTTAATGACCTTTTCCAAATAAATAATATAGAAATATTGCCTAACTTAATAAAATTCATATTCTGTTTTCCCTCTCCCTGTCCTAGCAAGTCATGTGAGCAATTGCTGAGGACAGTCTGAGCTCAGTACAATTGTTCCTTTAATAAACCCACTATGTGCTTCTCATACAACTAACCACAAAGAGAATTCTGTTCTCCAATAACCTAGTCAGATGATTACAAATATGTCTTCCTACCAAGCCTTCTGATGCTATCAAAAGTGTTCTTGAGAAACAATTGTCTTAGGAGTATTAATTTTCCTTCTTTCTTTATTCTTTTTATATGGAGCTTGTTCTTTGATAATTTCACATGCGTATTCAACGTGTTCTGATTATTTTCTATTACTCTAACTTCTTTCCCTTCTATCTCTTGACCACTCTCCTTCCCACATGCACACTTTTTTTGTATTTTTTTAAATAGTTGACTGTGTTTTACCTGGGGCATTTTTTGCATGAACCTGGGCATGGATCTCTCCATTGGAGACTAGTGAGCTAATAG